TATACCTCCTCTTTATTTGCTAGCGCATGACAAAGCTTCCTTTCAAGACCCCAATATTCTTCTCCTTGCCTAAGCTCTTCTCTTATTCTTAACTCATCCATAAGAAGAACACAGAAATAATAAGTTCAACCCCTTACTATGCCCCATGGATTGTATGATATAGAAGGCAGAAATCATACCTATGGGTCAAAAGGCCTTTGTGTCCAAGAAGAGTCGCAAGTGGTCCAAATGGATTCTTTGAGATGCAGGAAATCAACAATGGCGTAACTTTCTACATGCAAATAAATTTACAAAAGCTGGTCAAATGGAATTTACTCAAAACATGATTCGAATCACCATTGTGCAAGTCCCAAGTAAGATGACCTCATATTTTCCTCCTGAAACAGACTCTCCATTGGTCGGTGTTTGCAGTAACTTCTCATTCATTCTATCCAGCTGCATCATAATAACCTTAGATTCTCAACGTGCAGATCATACAATTATTATTGGAACAATGCATCACTCATCTGTAAATAGTAAAACAAAAAAACAAAACAAAAAACAAAGAAAAAGGAAAAGCCACACTTTTTTTTTTTTGGGTGACAGCCATCAAGTATCTAATACTAGCCCAACTTATTCAAATTCAAGCATTGTTAGGCTTCAAATTTGGGGTAGCACTTAGCATGTTCTACATCAACAAGACTTTTACCCAAGACCATCAAATCCCTTCTGCTTAACCCATATTGTAAGACAACCACATTTTAATATTAGTTACTTCCAATAAACTCTGTTTTCACTTTTTTCCTTTCCTTCTCTTATTTGGCGTTTGACAATGCCCAGGAAGAAAGAAATACAAGCTGGACAAGAATCAACACTTATCAATATAAAAAGTATGCTTCCTGGAATAACTAAATAAAGCACCTTTATCAATATGCTGCTCACATCACCATTATGTGCCTGGTTGACTGGAACTTATGTGACATATCCGGCATTGATGAATAAATGGATGGCTGAACTTAAACTAATCTAGGATTTACCTGATAAATGTAACTCTCTGTGAATGAAAGTATTGGTAAGTACTTGAATATTGATTGTGGCTTGCAGACATCCAATCCATGAAACATAAAATAGGATCTGCACTGCAATAACAAGGTATTACTATTGATTTTCCTCATTACCAATGAATATACTAATGAAAATTACAGACTCAAGATTTCAGAAAGCCAGAAACCATGTTAAAATAATACTTTTCTGTAAAGAGATCTGTGTCAAAGTTTTCCCTAAAGAAAGCTAGAAAGGAACTTAGAATGCATATATTTGGCATTTTATACATCTACTAATCAATATGGCAATTGACAGCATGAACCGGCTATTTCCCTGAATGATCAAATACACCACTGTTTTCTAATAAGAATAATATGAGTATGCAACTATCTGGGCATTTGCTCAATACGTCAACAAGTAGTAAATCTAAAACATAAAACCATACGGCAGTATTAGCAGAAAGATAATTTTCTGAATACAGTGCTTACAAAATCCTCAAGAGTGGAATTAGCATCTTCCATAGAATCCAGCCCAACCATGGCCAAGTTTTCATCATTATTTCGCAACAAATTATTATATGTCATCTGATCACAACTAAGCCGCAAAGAATTTCCTACAAGATTCTGTTGACCCCCTGAAAAAAACAGCTAAAGTTCAAGAACAAACAAGAAAAATTTATAAGTTCATATCAAAATCAGAAGCAACAAAGCGTATCAAGGAGGAAAATAAAAGAAAAATATGATAAACACGGGAATAAAACTTGTACTTTGTAAACATCAGTCTAAAGGTTCCCAAAATATCAACATGTCAAGGGGAAAGATTTAACCCTAAAATTTTTCCAAAAGATTTATATGCCAACTCACTAATTTTGGGGTAATTTTCTTACCTTTCCCTCCTCTTTAAGAGAAATTAAATATCCAAGAGATGAGTAAGGCTATAGCGGCTTGCAAGAAATTAAATAGTCAAGATACAGCACAGACCTAAAGGAGTGCAATGATTATGGCCTATACTACTATTTTCTTCTTTCATCATGCCACCATGATTAAGCCAATGAGATGTCTCCTCCAAAAGAGTAGATGAGAGCTGCAAAAGGAAGAAAATGTCATCCTGTGACTAATACTAGAAAGAGATATGAAAGCAAAGAAATCAGCATCTGTAACTCACTCTAGGCATAAACTCACAAACCAAGCTGCATTTTTTGTCCATGCCAAGCTTTCCACAAGGTTGAATCTAATTCCCAAACAATTTCCAAGCAAAAAGGACGAAATAGTAAGAACAATGACAAAAATACCACACAAAAACATAATCACAAGCACGTAATAAAGCTTAATATTGTCGACAAAGAAGCATTATTATGATATAATAATTGGGTGAAATGCCATAAGGAACATTGTTTACATATTTAAGGAGTAATTACCAAGAAGAGCATGAGATTAGCGAGGAAGCGATTTGACTGGTGATCCGAGTCAGTTGAGCATTTCACCAAGCCCCGAGACCCCATAAAATCTAGCATACTCTGTACCTGTTCTAGTTTCATTAATTCATCCATTGCAATTGCGACGTGCCTAACTGAGCTTTTCGCCCCACTTCGCCGCTTATGCTCTTCTTCTCATGGATATTCATGGACGCCTCAATTTTTATTTACGAACTAAAGTAGACACTCCATGAACGAGCCGGCCAGCAGCACTTTTTTCCGTTTCTTTTTTTTTTTGGGCATAATTTTAGTTCTGGGTTGAAATTGTGGGCCGTTAACTCAAAGATCATTATCAGCTCAAAAAAAAAAAAACTCAAAGATCATTAATTGTGAAGCCAGAATTAATGTAAGCCTCCTATAATAATAATACTATGAACAGAACTAATCAACTAATCATTTTGTAATTGAAAGATGTACCCAAAAAAACGCTTGTAATTGAAAGTTGTTTAGGTGATATATAATTAAAAAAATATTTTTACACGTGTAATTATTAAGAAGGATATGAATCTCATGATGTATAATTTTTTGGCTAAAGTATACGTCTAATCCATTAATTTTAAAGAGTTTTAATTTGGTCCGTTATCTTAAAAAGTATATTTTTAATCATTTAACTTTAAAATCACTTACAAATCAGGATGACATTAAACTCTTAAATGTTGATAAAATATTTTCAAATACTAATATATTAAATTTAATTTTCAAAATAACCATGATTGTTATAAAAAATCATTATTTAAGGTTAATAATTTTAGGATTAAAGGACTAAACGTATACTTTTTAAAGTTAAGGAATTAAATTAAAACATTGTGTAAAGTTAAAAGAACAAATGTATACTTTGAAAAATATATAAATAACATAAAATTTGATATGGCAAAATAATATATAGAATAAAAGAAGGTTTAAAATTTTATATATTGAATAATATATAATAAAAAATGTATAAATAATATAAAATTTGAAATGTTGGAATATATATATATAAATTTAACTCTCTACAACCAATTTAACTTTTGAAATAAAATGGGAATAAGATAGTTACATTTTTTTCTAATTAGAAAACTGTATTCCATTCAAACAAGGTGATCAATAATATGAAAGTTCATCTCCATAAAATGGGGAGACTTAGGTAAATACTACTCCCTCCGTTCCTTATTATAAGAGACATTTGATACTTATGGCATGTTCTTATATATAAGAGACACTTACAAGTTGTCTCTACTTTTTTGTATTGATTTACTATTTTACCCATATTTATTATCTCAAACTCACACTCTCTCTCCCTCCTACTTCTCTTTCTTTTAATAATTTAATTATTCTCTCTCATGCTCTCTCTCCTCATTAATGAGGGTATTTTTGGAAAAAAATTATACTTTTTACATATTAATTGTTTTTAACTAATTTTAACTGTTTTTTTTATCAATGTACTTCGGTTATTTGTCTCTTACAATAAGAAACGGAGGGAGTATCTCTGATGCTAATTATAAAATATTATTTATAAACAAGATTTTATAATTAAAACCAGAAACAGTGGTTTGGCATAAAGGGAGGAAAAAAAAAGTGTCACTACCGGTCTGATACAATAATAGCTGTCAATTCCTTTACACAACTAACGTAGTATCGTTAGTAATGTGTTAAAGGAGTGCTAAACTTGTCAAATGTAACAAGTACCAGTTTGAAAAGGGAAAAGTTGATTTCAAAAGCAAGTTTATGTTGGATTTTTAGTTTGTCAAAAGTTCGTTTATTAAAATTCTATTTGTCAAAAATGAATGTACTAAATGTGACAAGTCCAAAAGCTGGCTTTTGAAAACTCCACTTGGGGTATCTAGAGTGATAGATAGACATGCCGTAATCCTTTTTTCATGGGTGTGAATTTTAATGATATATTTTAGTTATCTTTACAAGAATCCAAGAACTCCCTTATCTAACCTAGTAGAGGAAAAATAAATCGAAATTAATTTTGTGTGGCTCCACCACGTATCAATCCTCTCAAATAATAGGGCGCTTCACCTATCAAAAAATGACAATAACAAAAGTTATCTTTTTTCAAAACAAAAAAAAACAAAAAGAAATTCTTTAGAATGCAAATATTTAACTTTAAAAAAAAAACTCCAAAACCCTTATAAAGACTTGTTCATTTCAAACATCCATTATTCATAGAAAACAACTACGAGAAGGATGGCTCATTGGCAAGCGCACTTTCTTTCACAAAGCCTGTCTTTGACAATAATGTTTCAGAAGATATTTGGATAAAAACAAAATCATAGTTTTAAAAATATTTTTATAGTATATAAAGTAAATAGATAAAAAAATTTATCTCAATTTTCAAAAAAATATTTTTTAAAAGCATTTCTTGGATAATCCCAACACCCCTTGATCCCCCGCCAGGTGGGGGTGTCCAAATTTTATTAAAGGGTAACAGTGATACTTTATATAATTAGAATTGCATATAAAAATTTGATGCTCCTAAAAAGAGAGTTTGATCCAAAGATCAGGTCACAATCACTTGAGAGCGAAAACGCAAGTGAAAATAGGATTTTATTAATCGGAGTCGATCAATCGCCCAACTATTTGGGTATGAAGTAAATGGATTGGATTATGAGAAAGTTACAAGCTTGAATCAAAGGTATAAGCTCTAGCATAATGGACCATTTACTGACAATTTATGACCTGAAACAGACAGACTTCTGCATATGCATGAGAATGATCCCGTATTAGGTTGTCCTTAAGCAACTTCACTTCGTCAGTAACAGCGTTCCTCAGCAAACTTGAGACACTGAAAAACGAGACTCCTTGATTCCGTGCGGACAGAACTCCAGGAATTTCAATGTGTCATGATCGATGGTTCAGTATACACAGCGTAAAAAGAAGAATGTTGTAACAACAGATTTTCTTCATCGAAATTTCACGATTTTCCTCCTTAATGCAGCCCAAGATTCAAATTTGGTGAAATTCCTTCTTATTTACCTCATCCACGTCTGACTTGGAGGCTTCCGATGTGTTCTGTACCTCCCTAGTTACCCGTTTGCCTTCCCATAGTTTACTGGTCTTCCCAATAGCAAGAATCAGATCAAGTTGTTTTTGTTGTTGTTCCTACATACAACAGTCAGATGCAGTTAAGAGACCAGTCCAATTTGATTGGCATGGCAAGCAACATGATCTGAAAAACATACCGGCTAAGAGCCACTTATGGCTCTAGAGTATGAATTGACGAGTAAGGGAGCAGGTAGGGTATGGTTACTAGATAAACAATAACTTCAAATTCCCATAATATATTTTGCATCCTCAAGGAAAAATAGCATTCAGTCTCAATGATATACAAACAACATGAAACTTAACATGGGGCATGATATTAGCCGTGCTTAAATAACCCATGTAAGAAATTACTATTACCTGCATTGCCAACAAAACCTTTTGAATTTCACCTAGCTCCTTCTCCAAAATGTCTGATCGAGCCACTAGTGCTCTTGTGGCCTCAGAATTCTTCTGAGCCAGAGCTGCAGTCTTCAAGAAACAAATACGTAATTAGTTTTCTAATTTCATAATTTTTTTTATTTATCATATAAACTCGAAGTTCTAAATCACAGTAGGTCATTCAAAATGAGAAAGAGGGCTGCTAAAATGTTACTGTGTATTTGTATTTGAGCAGAAGTGCAATTCTTATCATATATACTTCCATGATAAGCTGATCCCTACATTATCTCATTAACGAACATATACTATGTAGTGACTATTGATGGGATCGGGAGCAATAGATGTTGACCTAACATGATCCTGGATTTTGTTGCCAGCCCGTCTGCTCAGACATGAGATTAAGACAGTCCAATCTTCTTTGAAAAGAAATATTGCTACTCTTAGAATATTGCCACCAAAGTAAAACTATAGTGCCAGATCAAGAGAGTCTCCTTTTGGCGTGACCATGTCTAGAAATCCCAGAGAAATATAACAATAATGCAGCCTTACTTCATAAATTTTGGCAAAACTTCTCAGAAAATTAAACTCAGCACTTCAAATAAAATCCCTATGACATTATTGCTCAGACATGAGATTAAGACAGTCCAACCTCCTTTGGAAAGAACTATTGCTACTCTTAGAATATTGCCACCAGAGTAAAACTATAGTGCCAGATCAAGAGAGTCCCCTTTTGGCGTGACCATGTCTAGAAATCCAACAGAAATATAAGAGTAATGTGGCCTTGTTTCATAAATTTTGCCCAAAACTTCTCAGAAAATCAAACTCAGCACTTCAAATAAAATCCCTATGACATTATTGCACGTTCAAGCATAAAGTAATTAACCATCAACTCCTCTCAGAAGATGACAATAACTCTTCATTTGGTTCTATCTCAATTAAATACCTCTTTAGTTCAAATAACAAATATTCCCATTCTCATATTTTGCCTTCTTGTCATACAAACCAAAAGAAGCCTGACGAGAAGCACACAGAAACGCAACTTTCCAAAAATGTTGTCTACTGTCTTAGTGTCTGAAGTCATATATTAACACCATGCCCAACTATAAAATAAAGAAAACAGCTACTATGATTTGTACGGACTGAAGTAATATATTATGCATTTTGCATCCTACCTGCTTATGAAGTTCACAAGTGTTCTCTATGTTTCGATTAAGCTCCCTCATTTGAAAACACAAAATTATATATATATATATATTCTTGGTGTATGTTATACATTACGCAAGATAATTTTCTTTACCCCCAATAACCTCAAAACTTTATTTTATGAGAAAGTTAATCTCCAGAGTATCGATGGTATCAGCAAAAATTTCTTAGTTTGTACGTTAACCACAGAGCGAAGATCGAAATAATCCCTCTTCCACTCCATCTTATACATATCAAGATACTATTATAAACTAAGCTACAGGGTTCACCATCAATACCCAAAGAAATCTACCAAGGGGTAGAAAAGAAAAGAAAAGAAAGAAGTATTCACCTCGGCTATGGGTTCCTTCAACCCCTTCCGGGTCACCCGAAATCTTATGCCCAACTTCTCCAGCTGTCTTGACAAAACCCTGACAACAGTCACTGAGCTCTTCAAATCCTCCTCCAATTTCTCAATCCGCTCGAGCAAATTAACCTGCAAGCCTTCTTTGCGCGTCTCCCTACAAATTCGCCTCCATTGTCGTCTCCGAATCCACGCTCCCATCACAACCCCACCAACCAACATCAAAACACCCCAAAGAACAACCTTACTCCCTATTGCCACTAAGAACTCCTTCTTGGAGCTTGCCATCACATTGCTAACCGCGAAGCCAACGAATAAAATTGCCGACGAAAGCAGACACAACAATTCAGCCAGAGAAAGAAGAGAGTCCAAATTGAAATCTCCCACAACATCCTTCTGTACAGCACCATCGGATTCATAGGCTCGAAGACGGAAAAGGTCAGCGGAAGTCCTGAAGGAATTGAAATTTTCAGGTTTCAATGACGTGAGCTTCAGAATCCGAAGATGAGCGGGATTGGAGAGATGCTGGCGTAGGGTGATCGAGAGGGATGGGGTTGAGCTTCTAGCGAAGTAAAGATTGGAGAAAGAAAGTATGGAAGGTGAATCTGCGAAGAGGCGTTGAGAAGTGAGTAACATTGTGAAGAGAATCACTGATTCAGAGAGTTGGAGGAAGAAGAAAGCAGAACATATCATGCTAGGTTTACAGCATCTGCGGCCAATTTGGGAGGTTGAAGGCGATGGGTTCGAGGGGTCGCGCGGGTCATATCCACGTTTGCCTGGCCTCGACTTCTCAAATCAGTCGCTTCAGTAAATCATGTTGACCTTCCCTTATTTAAAATAAAAAATAAAAAATTGTTGGTAGAAGCTACCGTTAACCCTTTTTAATTTTTGCTATTAAAATTATAAATTAAGAAATTGCACATAATAATAAATTTTTGACAAAATACTTTATAGAAAAAAGACAGAAAAATGACACTTGAATTTCATAATTTCCAAATGGTCTGCTAAATTTAAAAAAATCCTAATTTGGTCTCATGTTAAAAGAAAAGATCAAATTGCCCTTCATTTTATTTATTGTTTTTAAAATGCCAAAGCCCCCACTGGTCGGCCAGTCGGTCGCGGGAGCTCCCTCTGTGGCAGTCACCGAAGCTCTGACGATTGGTCGACAATTGGTCACCGAAACTCCGACAGTCAGAAACAATTTTTTTGAAAATTTTTACAATTTCAGTATAATGGTTAATAACTTTTGTAAGCTATTAATAACTTCAGTATAGCAGTTAACAACAGGTTTTCTGGAAATTCAACAAGCTCCAGTGGCCAGAAAGAATTTTTTTGAAAATTTTTACAACTTCAATATAACGATTAACAACTTTTGTAATACTATTAACAACTTCAGTATAGCAGTCAACAGATTTTTTGAGAAATTCAACAAAGTCCGATGGCCGGAAACAATTTTTTTGAAAATTTTCACAACTTCAATATAATCGTTAACAGCTTTTGTAATACTATTAACAACTTCAGTATATCAGTTAACAACAGGTTTTTCGGGAAATTCAACAATTGGTCACCGGAATTCTACAGCGGAAGACAATTTTTTTGAAAATTTTTATAATTTTAGTATAACGGTTAACAACTTTTGTAACTCTATTAACAACTTCAGTATAGCAGTTAAAAATAGATTTTTAAATTTTTTAACGACATTACGGAAGTTGTAAAATGCTACTTTTTGAATTTTCTGAAAAACCTGTTATTAACTGCTATATCGAAGTTGTTAATAGAGTTACAAAAGTTGTTAAACGTTATACTGAAATTGTAAAAATTTTCAAAAAAAAAAAGTAATTGTTAAAGTTATAAAAATGTCATTTTTTGAATTTGTAAGAAAACTTGTTGTTAAATGCCATACCGAAGTTGTTAATAGAGTTACGGAACTTATTAACGACATTACTGAAGTTGTAAAAATACTACTTTTTGAATTTTTCAAAATTTGTTGTTAACTACTATATTAAGGTTGTTAATAACATTACAAAAGTTGTTAACCGTTATACTAAAATTGTAAAAAAATTTCCCAAAAAAATAGTTGCTAAAGTTGTAAAAATGCCATTTTTTTTGAATTATTAAGAAAACATGTTGTTAAATGCTATATTGAAATTGTTAATAGAGTTACGAAACTTGTTAACGGCATTACTGAAGTTGTAAAAATGTTACTTTTTGAATTTCTTGAAAAACCTATTGTTAATAGCATTACAAAAGTTGTTAACCATTATACTGACGTTATAAAAATTTTCAAAAAAATTGTTTCCAGCCGTCGGAGCTCCAGCGACCAATTGTTGAATTTCTTGAAAAACCTGTTGTTAACTACTATACTGAAGTTATTAATAGCGTCACAAAAGTTGTTAACTATTATACTGAACTTGTAAAATTCAAAAAAATTGTTTACGGCCGCTGGAGCTTGTTAAATTTCCCAAAAAACTTGTTGTTAACTGTTATACTGAAGTTATTAATAGCATTACAAAAGTTGTTAACCGCTATATTGAAGTTGTAAAAATTTTCAAAAAAATTGTTTCCAGCCGCTAGAGCTTGTTGAATTTCCTAGAAAACCTGTTGTTAACTGCTATACTGAAGTTATTAATAGCATTACAAAAGTTGTTAACAGTTATACTGAAGTTGTAAAAATTCTCAAAAAAATTATTTCCGGCTACCGGAGCTTGTTGAATTTCCCAGAAAACATGTTGTTAACTGCTATACTAAAGTTGTTAACAGTGTTACAAAAGTTGTTAATCGTTATACTGAAATTGTAAAAATTTTCAAAAAAATTGTTTTCAATCATCGAAGTTCTGGTGACCAATTGTCGGCCAGTCACCGGAGCTCCAGTGACTGCCACCACTGGAGCTCTGATGATCAGCCGATCGGCTAATGTGAGCTTTGGCATTTTAAAAACAATGAATAAAATAAAGGGCAATTTGGTTTTTTCCTTTAACATGATAATCCCAATTTGGTCTCTTAAGACCAAATTGGGATTTTTCAAATTCAACAAGCCATTTGGGCATTATTAAATTCAAGTGTCATTTTTTTGTCTTTTTCCCATACTTTATTTGCAATTTGACAATTTTCACAAACTTTTTTGCTATTTTTCTTAACTAATTTACATATAATGTAAAATTAGTTTAAATTAGTTTAAAATAATAGATAAGTAAGATATATATTTTTATTTTCAAATCTATCTTTATAACAAATGAAGAAAAAAAAATGAAAAAGAATGCATAAGAAAATGTAATATAAAAAATGAGAAGGGAGAAAAAATAAATAACTAAAGACAATATTGGAAAAAAAATTGAATATTAAAATAAATCTAAATTAAAGCCTATAAAATGAACCATGATCTTAATCGAATCTAAAATTTATAAATAAAATTGAAGGAAGTACTAAACACCTAACTAAAATAATGCTTATTTACTGCTCATATGCTAAGTGTGGTTTGACATAAAATATGGATCTTTCACAATTTAATTTAAATAAGACGAAAGGAAAAAAGTTCAATATTATTTTAGGGAGAACAAAAAATGAAGCTCTGAGAAAATTTTCGTCCCTCTCTCTTTAATTGCGTGCCGCCTAAAACTTTATCAATGGAGGACCCTTTCTCACCAGAAAATTCCTCCATAACGACCTTTTGATGCATTAGTTTGTAGAGTAAGAAGAAGAAATCCAAGACTGAAACGATTAAACTTTCCATGGAGATGGTGGTGGAAGAACATTCTGAAAGTGGCGATAAAGAGACAGAGGATGTCTTAATGCTGAAAAGTAACAACTCAGCAAACAAGTCAGGTGGACGACAGTGGAAACAAATATCTTACTAAGACTCCCTCCTTGGGTTTAATGGAGTGGAAAATGGGAACTGTTGCATGGAGGATGATAAACTTCTTTTTGATGTGTTAAACATGGAATGGGAGCTCCCGGAACCATCAAAGGAGCTTATTGCTTTGATGGATCACTATCTTGTAGTTCCTATTAAGCCAGAGGAATACACTGAGTGGTGCAAGCCTTGGAATTCGGCTCTTATCATCACAGTGTTAGGTAAGAAATATAATGTTAACACGTTGAAAGAACTCCTGTGTAAAGTATGGCGTATGATGGACTTTGATCTAATAGACATTCTCAATAATTATTTTGTGTTGAAGTTCTCGAACAAGGAAGGTTGGATAGAAATGTATAGGAAGGTGCTATATGAAGGTACTTGGGTAGTCCAACAACACAGTGTCTTGGTACAGAGATGGACTGCACATTTTGATCCATACAATAATCCCCTTAGGCGTATAGCAACATGGATTCAAATCCCCAATATTCCTCTTCACTACTATAACTAAGCATTTATTTCAAGGCTAGGTCATAGAGTGGGAAGAACTCTCCGGATAGACTTAAGGACAACGACAGAAAACTGATCCAAGATTTTGAATGTTGAAAGGGGCAGATTTGCAAGAGTTTGGGTTGAATTACATCTCCAAAAGAAATTGGTGCCGAGGGTAATCACAGCTAATTCCATTTATAATATGGAGTATGAAGGGCTTTACCTTTTGCATGTGATCGCTACGGTTAGCATCCGAAAAACTGCCTATGGGTTCTTAAGACTTCATAAGGGGTGGACCTAGGGAGGCCAAATGAGATGAGATCAAACAGGGCATCCACCTAAAGATTGCGAGGGTGTTTGGATTAGGGAAAAAGTGATTTTCAAAAGCATTTTTTCGCAAATCAAGGCAAACTCCTCCACATATTTACTTCGTACACCGTAAAAGCATAACATAGGTTAGCTGAATCAAGATTCATCGGTGGCAAATTTGAAGCTAGCTAGCAATGAGGAGATCGGGAGTTGGATGATAGTCAATCGGCGAGGAAAATTTCGTACACAAAGGAGCGGTATAATGAAAGAAGCTGAAGGGGCTATTGGGAGTGGCTCGAGGAATGTCAGAGGACATAAGGGAGAGACCTCCCATGCTCAGTTTACTATTCTAGAAGATTTGATAGAGAAAGAGGGGCCTGGTGTCAGAAGAAAATAAAACCCTGAAGAGAATAGAAGATGGGTGGCAGAAAGAGGGAAACTTAACCCCATAAAGTTTCAATGGAGAAGAGGATTAGGCTGGAAGGAGTAATCTTGAGGTAGTGGGGCCTATAGGAAAAACAAAGCAAATCATACAGGAGGAAAGGAAAATGAGAACCTTAATAGGCTTCCTAGGAAGGGCGAGGCTCAAGTGCCAATAGAAGCAAGAGGGCCATAACAAAAAGATAGTCAATCCAATGAAAACAAGGTGAAGAGAGGGAAGGCCAATATGCTAGATAAAACATATTTTGGTGCAAGGCAATGTCCATGAAACGAACCCTAGTGCTCCTAATCTAGTGATAACTATCATAGATATAGAAAAACAAGACAAGGCATGTTGGGTAGGAGACAAAATATTGGTGATGCCAACGTAAAAGTTGGAAATGAGATATTCTAATTAGTCAGTTTTACCTAATCAATTAGTATCCAAATCAAACTTCAAAAAATCAATGGACGCTGGCTCGCAATCTTCAGTTCCCCAACAAGATGAGCTATTCATAGGGGATTTAGGAGACAATGGTTTAGGTAGGGATTGGACTATCCTTTCTTAAACCCCATTTAGTATGCATTCAGCATTACAGTTCAAGCAATTCACAAAACAAGACCGTGGATTGAAATTTTAAGTTTGCTTTTTTAGGTTAATACATTGGGAAATTCTAGATTTTTTGTCCAATTTTAAAAATTCATAACTAG